GTAGAGAACATTTTTACAAATTTTTCTGTTTAAAACTTTTTGTCAAAATGTCAGTTTTTCATGTCATTTTCGGTCAAAAACTAAATGAATTTGATGAAAAAGTTTGTAAAATTATTTTTCAAAATTGTATCTTTGCCTGCATGTTTCTCATAAAATAAGTGCACGTAGTGAACATTTTTACAAATTTTTCTGTTTAAAACCTTTTGTCAAAATGTTAGTTTTTCATGTCATTTTTGGTCAAAAACTAAGAAATTTTGACAAGAAAGTTTTATAAAATTATTTTTCAAAATTGTACCTTTTCTTGCATGTTTCTCATAAAATTAGGGCATTTACAGAACATTTTTTGAATTTTTTTTTTTGTATGAAGTTTTCTGTCAAAATGTGAATCTTTCTTGTCAAATATGGTCAAAAACTAAACAATTTTGACGAGTTTTTTGTAAAATTATTTTTTAATTAAATGTTATCTTTACTGCATGTTTCTCATAAAATTTAGAGAACATTTTTAGAAATGTTTTTGTATAAAGTTTTCTGTCAAAATGTGAATTTTTTGTGTCATTTCTGGTCAAAAACTAAAAAAAAATATGAAAGCTTTTGTAAAATTATTTTTAAAAATGTTATCTTTACTTGCATGTTTCTCATAAAATTATACACCATTGGTAAAAACAAGTTATTTTACTCTCTTACCTCCAGAAATGCAGCGTCGCACCATCTCCCAAGCAATGAGACCAAAGCTGTACATGTCAGCCATTATAAAAGACTGGAAATAATTCCTGTTCAGGCTTTCGTCCAACACTTCAGGAGGCATGTAGCGTTTGGTGCCCACACGAAGGTTTGGAGGGATGTCCACCTCGTTTGTGTCACTGTTGGTGGAAGAAGGAACAAACGTGGTGAACTGTATCATTACAGTGTTCTTCACTCTGACTATTTATTCATTTTATCACCTGTTAAACTTGACAGCCAAGCCGAGGTCTGCGATACAGCAGGAGCCGTTCTTCTTTACCAGGATGTTCTTACTCTTCAGGTCCCGGTGGGCGATGGCTGGTTTGCCCTGCGTGCCACAGATCTCAGTGTGAAGGTGACACAGGCCCGAGATAGCGGAGTAGGCCAGTTTCAACAGGGAATTGATGTCTAAGGTGTTGGACTTGAGGTAGTCGTACAAGGATCCGTTCTCATGGTAGTCTGTGATCAGGTACAGCTGAGTCCACGAGCCTGTTCCTTTGATGTCAGCTGCTATGAATCCTGGGAGTGATAATGAAAGTGAGAAATGTACAAGCAATGACTTGATGATACATTCTAGAATGTTTTAAAAAACAGTTTTTCCACTAGGTAGGAGCATATGGTTAAAAAAAAAACAAAAAAAAACAGAGCTTCTCAAAACTGTTGACAATCTTCATGTTTGTCTTTCTTCAATTTCTGCAAATCGATCTGCTTTGTGTTCAACTAAACAGGCTCAGCTTTGACAAATAGAAAAGGCTGAAATCCAGGATGTAACAGCAGTCATTTAAAACTCAACAGGAAATGTGAAGAAACCCTCAAGAAAACTAAGGCTACTGAACTTGTTTTTTTTTTTCGTGTCAATCCCAACTCACCCAGTATGTTGTCATGTCTCATCAGGAAGGTCTGATAAATCTCAGTCTCTCTGAACCAACTCTCCTCCTCCGTGGTGAAGAAGACTTTGACGGCCACTCTCTCCTCTCTCCATTTGCCCATCCACACCTCTCCGTAACGCCCTTTGCCGATCTGCTTCACCATCTGAATCTGCTTGGCAATGGTTCGCTGCACCTGGAAACGTGTGACAAAAACCAAGAGGTTTTAAAAAAACGTTCTACAGACTCTAAGGTTTATACTAATTATTTTTTTCATTACAAGAGAAAATAAAAAAAAAACACGTTCATGTTTATATGTTATATGTTATTTATATTCTCTTCATTTTTCTATATATTTTAATCATCACTGCCTGCATAGTGCACTGCTCCTTTCTCACCAGTAGAGGGAGACCTGAACCTGAGCCAGACCCTGTGCTTCGAGAGTGCTCTATAAGGTCCTTCAGAGACTCCCCAACAGGGATGTAGGTGTCATCCTGCTCCAGATCGATACTGTATGGTGGCTGTGAATCCTGGCGCTTATATCTGCCGTGAAAAAAAAAAATTATAGTAAAAAAAAAATTGATACAATGGTCTATTTTATATTTGATGTTCTCACCTGACGTAGAAAAAGAGAAGGAGGAGGCCGAGGACGATGGTGCAGACTGTGATGGAGATGAAGAGCGCCATGTACTGGACACTGCTGTCAACATAATCTGGAAAAATATAAACAGTCATGTGTGAAACTCTTATTCAGCCTGACTGATGATGAAAGGTACGAAAAATCAGATCTGACTAAATGTTGATCATGACAGTGGTGATTGGTCTAATTTTCATCCTCTCCCTCTTCCCCCGCCTTTGCCCCAGCTCCCACTGTGTGATCGATCACATCCCCTTCCTGAATGTCACGTATCAGGTGTCACCCCGACGTTACTGCAGTAATCCCTGAGGCCTGCAGCAGCTCTGGGACTCTAACCTTTCCATCACGGTTCTGTCAGTCCGACCCACAGACACAGAGCTTCACTGTCAGCAGAGAGAGAGTTGATTCTGAACCAATGTCCACAGAATCGTTTTCCTACTCTGTGAATATCATGCTACTAAAAAAAAAGCAATTATTTGAGCTGCGATTTTTTTTGGTCCTAAAAAGAATAGCTGCACAAGTCTGAGTGTGTGTGAGTGTGTGCCTGCATCGTTGCCGGGAATATAGGCCTGCCAGACTCTGCATCCTATAGTTTTTCTTTACCAATAAGTTCCTGAAGAAACCTCTGGAAAAAAAAGTTTCTCAAAAAT